CAGGCGCCAGTATACGCTGGTGCCGACCGGCTGGAAAGCAGTTTGTCATAAAAGCACCTGGGGCTCCTGGTGAGCTCCAAACTGGACATGAATGGCACAATGTGCCCTTACCACAAAGGCAGCCAGCAGGCTCCTGGGCTGCCTTAGGAGAAGCATTGCCAGTAGGCCAAGGGAGTTGACCCTTCCCCTCTTCTCAGCACTGGTGAGGCCACTCCTGGAGTGCTGGGTCCAGTTCTGTGTTCCCCAGTATGAGAGACATGGACATACTGGAGAGAGTCCAGTGTAGGGCCACGAAGATGACTAAGGGACAGGAGCATCTCTCCTAGAAGGAGAGGCTGGGAGAGCTGGGACTGTTCATCCTGGAGAAGAGATGGCTCAGGGTGATCTTGTCAACCTGTGTGTGGGCAGCAAAGTAGATGGAGCCCAACACTTCTCAGTGCTGGCCGGTGACAGGACAAGAGGCAACGGGAAATTCTATTTAAACACCAGGTAAAACTTTGTTACTGAACGCTCAAACAGGTTGCCCAGAGTGGTTGTGGAGTCTCTATCCCTGGAGGTATTCAAAGCACATCTGGACACGGTCCTGGGCAACCTTCCCAGCTGACCCTTCTATGAGCAGGGGCTGGACTGGATAATCTCCAGCGGTTCCTCCAGCCAGCTCCTCTCAGGTCCCTGTTAAGATAAACACCCGGCAGATAACAGCACGAGCCTGCTTTAGAGCCTGCCTGTGTGTTTTTTTTTTCCAGAGTTGCATAATCTTAGGGAAACATCATTTCGTTTGCTCTACAGACTCACCGGGGAAATCCCTCCCGTAGCTCGGATAAATAGTTCTCCTCATTATGGCCATGCCACTTGGCACATTTTAGTTTCCCTTTGATTTGATGAAATCGAAAACGAGCACTGAGTCAGAGCTTAGCACATTTGGCTCCAATGTGAACCAGATTCCATTCTTCCTGAGCCTTTCCGCCCCCCGCCCCCCCCTCATCCCCTTCGGCTATTTCACTTTCGTGACATCCTCTGTCCTCATTCTGGAATTTCCACTTGGGCTTCTCCCGGCTGCCTCCAGGACTCCTTATTTAAGCGGAGCTGCATCCAGCTGCTGCAGACGAGCTGCATCTGCCAGAGCTTCTAGTCCTGCTCTGACTGCCCTCACCCAACGGGAAGATGAAGGTCCCTGCAGCCGTTTTTGCTCTGCTCCTCATTGCAGTCTCTTGGTCCCAAACCTTCTCTGGCCCAGGTGAGTCCTGCTTTCTCATTTCTGAAGGAAGAGCAGCCCTGAGCCTTCATTATCATTTCTCTGTTGATCTCCCCTGGCAGATAACTGGGAATTTTTCAGCATTTGTATCACTCTCCACTCTGCACTGAGATCAGCTACATGTAGGAACCCCAGAATTAGACAATCATCCATTCATCCATCACCCAGCCATCCTCCACCCATCCATCCACCCATCCATTCTTCCATCCATCCATCCAAACAGTCTTCCTGCCATCCGTCCCCCCAGCCATCCGCCACCCATCCATCCAACCAGCCATTCTGGGCTCAGAGTACTTTTTCCTAGCTGTAGTTTAGGGACTTCAGTCTCTGCCCTGGGGCTGGGGGAGGTGGGGAAATGAAGCTCTGAGCAAAGACTGGGTGGGAATCTCCCCCAGTACCTGACAATACTCTTCCTGGCATTGGACCAGATGATTCCCAATGCCCCTTTCAACCTTAATTATCCTCTAATTCCTCACTCCCTTCCCCGCCAGCACGGCTCCCTGAGCTGATGGGCTGGCTGCTCCTGACGCACAGCCCAGCACGTGCTCACGTTGTCTCTCCTTGCCTCTTCCAGTTGGATCCGACCACCCGATCTGCTGCTTCTCGTACACACAGCACAAGCTCCCACAGAAGCTGGTCCTGCGTTATTACAGCACCAGCACCAGCTGCAGCCTGCCAGCCATCGTGTAAGTGCCAGCGCTGACTCCTGCGTGCGGGCAAGATGGGGCAGAGCGGGGACAGCCGCTGTGGGGTCGAGTGGCGAGATCTGCAGGGTGGCTGTGGGCATGGGGGTCTGTGGGAACAGGGCAGAGTGAGGGGAACCCCAAGGGGAAAAGGCTGGCACAGGGACTGCCAGGGATGCTCTTGTGGGGATGCCCGGGGATGTTCCTGCAGGAGTTGAGGAGGCAGTGTGGGAAAAGGGGTGGGAGTAGGGGAGATCACAGCCAGCTGCTGGTTTCAGCATCAGCTTAGGGCACAGGGGAGAACTTCTTGCAACGCCCCGAAGCTGGGATCCAGGCTCTCCTGGGATGCAGGTCTGAGCAGAGATCTAATGTCTCAACCCTGTTCCACAGGTTCATCACAAAGAAAGGTCGCCAGGTCTGTGCCAATCCCAGCGCCTCCTGGGTTCAGGGTTACCTGCAAAACTTGAAGCAGAACTGAGCAAAGCAAGGTGGCAAAGCATAGCTGCTGTCATGCACGAGTCACGTTATCCTGAGCTCCTGCGATGGAGCAGGACACCGGGGCAACGGGAGCTGCCCGAGCCCACGTCGTCTGCAGACGGCTCCGAGGGACTGCGGGAAGGGCACCACGAGACACCGCGTTGGGGTGCTGCTGCTTGCCCTCGGCTTGCATGGACCAGTCTGCAGCCTCATCGCTCTGCCCTGACACCTCTGCCTGTGGCCTGGGAAGGCCCATGGGACTGCACCTCTATTTTTTTTATATTAATTTAAATTATTTAAGAAGGTATCGTATGGGATAGGCAGTACTTTCTTCTGTGGATAATAATGCTATTTATGGGAGGGTCGCTCAGAGTCTCGGCGTTGGATGATGGGTGGCCCTGACTTACACACGTGGAGTCATGATTTTGGAGAATAAAGAATTTGGACAAAAACCTTTGCTTTTTTTCATGTATGTGCCTCTTTGTGGTGTTCACCAGCACAGAGACGGAACCTCACCCCAAGCCTATGTGCACACTCTATGCGGCGTGTGACGATGGGAAATGGTTTGAGGCAAACCCAGAAAGTTTCCACACTGCAGACATACGAATATCCTCCGACACCTCATTCCCCCACCATATACACCCCCGCCTCCCACATCCTCTACAGAATTAGACATGTTTGTATGCACATATGGGCCTTTTACATACATGAATGTGCTCCCCACACACCCCAGGCACGCCCCGTATGCTTACTTGCTGCTTCCAGCCCCACACGCTGCAAACCAGACTGGTCCCTGTGTGTGCGACGGGGTGGTGATGGGGTACATTGCTGCAAGGGGTAAAATCCTGCCAGAGGCTTTGGGGCAGGAGGAGCAGGGAGAGTGGCTTGTAGTCGGATGGGAGGAAGCAGAGGGCACAGAGCTGCCGCGGTGCTGGGGCTGCCCTGGGAGCTGGCAGGTACCTGGGGATCAAGAGCTGCTCGTCTGCCCTCGTACTGAGGGTGCTGGGGTGCAGAGCAGGGCCAATTCACTGCCAGTACCCAGTTCCCTGCCCATACCCAGCCCTGTTTGCCATTTCTGCCAGCTAAGCAGCAGTGTTTCCCAGCACAGAGCCCACAGCACCCACACGCGCACTGTCAGCGGCCAAAGGGCTTGTGCTGTGTGTGCGAGAAGCAGCAGATCGGGTGGTCGGATCCAACTGGAAGAGGCAAGGAGAGACAACGTGAGCACGTGCTGGGCTGTGCGTCAGGAGCAGCCAGCCCATCAGCTCAGGAAGCCGTGCTGGCGGGGAAGGGAGTGAGGAATTAGAGGATAATTAAGGTTGAAAGGGGCATTGGGAATCATCTGGTCCAATGCCAGGAAGAGTATTGTCAGGTACTGGGGGAGATTCCCACCCAGTCTTTGCTCAGAGCTTCATTTCCCCACCTCCCCCAGCCCCAGGGCAGAGACTGAAGTCCCTAAACTACAGCTAGGAAAAAGTACTCTGAGCCCAGAATGGCTGCTTGGATGGATGGATGGAGGATGGATGGGTGGATGGATGTGTGGAGGATGGCTGGGTGATGGATGAATGGATGATTGTCTAATTCTGGGGTTCCTACATGTAGCTGATCCCCATTGCTGCAGGGGTAAAACAGCCACCAGCAAACCCACTGGTGTCATTCTCAGGCTTTGCACAGGAACAGGAATGGGAGGGAGCAGGTCCCAAGGGTAAAAGCACAGTGCTGGGCACAGCTTGCCCATTGCAGTTGTGCTCAGCACTCCTCTGCTTCTGCACACTGAGCAGAAATGTGCCAAACAGCAGAGTCACCCAGAGCTGGCCTGGCCCTGCAGCCATCCTGTTGCAGCCGGTATTTCTTCTTCCCAATGCAAAAAAAAGCCTTTCTCTTGTTGTTTCTTTTTTTTTCCTGCAGCTACAGATCAGACTTGGGAACCCTGAGGCTGGGAAAGCACCCGTCGTGTTGTCTTGTGATTTCCCTCTGGTCTTGGAGAGCTGGCTGCAGGCAGGAGGGCTCGTGGGCCCCCGAGGAGCAGCACCCCAGCGACGGGCAGACCCAGCCCAGGCACCGTGTCATGTCCCAGGAGATGGTGCTGGTGAAGGGGCACCATGTGGAGGGCTCCTCTCCAGCTCCACAGGGGTGGCTCCTGCCTGCTCTGCTGGGAGGGTGATCTGGGGAAGGCACAGGCTCTTGCTCACCCGTGGCAGGGTCCCCGTGCTCCCTTTGTCCAAGCAGGGACATGGTGGGTCAGCATGTTTGCAAAATTCTTCTCCCACTCTGTGGCCAGGGCTTACCATTGTGGGGGAGAGACAAAAATCTGCAGAGGGGTGCATCCTGAGCAGGGCTTCCCCACCGCGCCGTGAAACACGGGAGAAGACAGCGGCCACTGCATGGTGGGGTGGATGGGCAGCAGCTCCTGCCCGTGGGTGGGCAGGAGGGGAGCCCGGGAAGGGGGGGCCGGG